GAGTTTTAAGCCACCGGGTCCAGGACGCGAACCGCGGTCGACTACGTGGGAGTCCAGCGACACAGCCATTACGCCAACTGCTGGTTCCCTTATTCTTAACAAAGAAAATGAACTGTTTTTTCCTAGAAAGTAAGTGCAGTGGCATTTACTGAGAAGGCGCGTTTGCGCGGTGTAACCCCCACAGCTCCTCTAGGGTATGGGGTGATGTTTAGTGAGGCTGCACTCTGCCCCTGAAGACACTCACACACACGAACTGGTACCTTGTCCCAAACTGGAGGTTACACCCTGGGCCGTCTCGTGCCTGTCTCCCATTACCGGACGCGCCCAAGCGAAGCAGATCATGAGGAAGACTCGCGCCCAGACACACCTGCAGCCCAACTCCTTTCTTTTCTTTTTTGTTTTCTAATTTGCCAGAGAGAGAGAAAGGGAAAGTGAGGAAGCACCCCCTAAGAGGGATGGTCCCACCGCAGCCCCTCTCCTCCATGCCCGCAGGGTTTCAGGCATGCGTGCACATGTACCTGCATGTGTCCAGGGCTTGAACTGCACAGTCAGCCCTGCGAGATCCAGTCACCTTAGCTACCAAGCCACTGGCTGCACTGGCTTATCCCTTTTCTCTAAAAGATTTAAAAAAAATTTTTTTCTAGAGACAGTGTCTCTACGTTGCCTATGCTGGCCTCGAACTCCTGGCCCTCCTGCTTCAGCCTCGTGAGTAGCTAGACCGACAGGCACACGGGAAGCCAAAGGAGTACGCAGGAAGTCTTCTGCAGGACCTGTTTGTGTCTCAGCTCTGGAAAGCACACTCTGCAGACCCCGTAGGAAACTCCGGCCCCTCCGGTCAGTCTCTCCTGGCCTCTTGTGACGGTCTTGTCCTCTGTCCCTGCTCGTGACAGGGGCCTGCAAGTATCCTAGATGCCTTCTGTGCCAGTCGGGCGCTGCGGTCCCAGCTCTGCCACACCCTGTGGCGGCTCCTGCCTCCGTCAGTCTCCCCTCTCCCCTCTGGGTGAGAACTGTGTCCTCCTGGGTCTCCACGCGCCCCACTTCTCCTGGCCGCCAGCCAGGCCCCCCTCCGCCCCCATCTGCTTTCTACCCCACAGGCGCTCTCAGGATAATGTCCCACTTCTTTTTATATACATACAAAAACTAAGTGACACAGAACAGCTGCCCAGGATTTCGGGTTGCCGTCTCGCGGGGTGCAGTGTGGTTCCTACGCCGAGTAGCCGTCAGCCCAGGGTGAGCGGGTACCCTCACCCCAGCACTCACTCGCTTTAGCCCTTCTGATGCGTACGGCCGCTCACTGCCAACTGTGTCACTGGACGCTCCTGTCCTGCCTGACTGCCGCGGGGGTCTGCCAACAACGCCGCTCTGGCCCCCTCGCCCCCTGAGCCCTAGTGGCCACTGTGGTCGTCGCCGCTTCGGAGAGGGCAGCTTCCGAGGTTTTCACACGGGAGTGAGGACGTGCACTCTCCGTGCCGGGCTTATTTCACTGACGTGCTGTCTTCGGGGCTCGCCGTGTTGGCTCAGACGGCGGGGTCCCGTCTCGTTACGGCTGAATCATTTCTCCCGTGGGGATGCGCTACGCGGTAAGCCCGTTCGGTTGCTGGTGGACGCCGAGGTGGGCCCCGTCCTGTGGCTGTTGTGGGGAGTGCTATGTGAACACGGGGTGCAGACCTCTCTGACACACTGACCCCCTCTCCTTTGGGGGTGCACCCAGGAATGAGCTCACCGTAGCACACAGAAGCTATCTTTAGCCTCCATAGTAAAGCCGAACTCCCTCCAGGGCTCGCTCTGGTCACGGCCAGGCTTATCTCTGGCCTCTTCCCAGCAGAGAACACGCAGAGCTCGGTGTTTCCGCCGTCTGCACTGCCTGCAGGCCCTGGACGGAGTCATCCCTCTGCAGGGAACGCACCTCCTGCCGTGCCCACGGCCAGGTCCTCCTCTCAGCTTAGGCTCGTTCAGGAAGACAGGCCCGATCACAGCCCCGTCCCTACTCGCCTCCTCCAGGAGGGCTGCCTCCCAGCAGTGATCTCCCAAGCGCCTGTCCGCCATCTTTATCCCACCATGAAACCTTAAGCTTGACGAGGGCACGTCCCATTCTCCCTCGCCCAAGTTCCATGATCAGTGCTGAGTTAACCTGGGGGGTAAACACACGCTGGGGGGAGGGGCGGGCCCTAGGCCCACACGGAAAGGTGGAGCATTCACTGTGCCTCCGGTTCTGGCGTGTCCGCCTCGGGCAGTAACAACACAGGGACAGTGCAGCCGCTCAGAGACGGTCTTAAGGCAGATTTTCGGGGTCCAACTGTGACCTTTTTCATTCACTCTCCAGCATGGGCACTCTTCAGAGAGCGGCAGAGAGAAGAAAAGTGAGAAATCCGCCCCCGCGGGGATGGCCACGCCACAACTCCTCTATCCTCCTCTCGGGATTTTGGGCAGGATGGCCACACCACAACTCCTTCTCTATCCTCCTCTCGGGATTTTGGGCATGCACACCCACACTCCTGGCATGATTTCCAAGCCTCCAGGTCTGACGCTTTAATCCAGTGACTTAATCATTTTGCTCCCCAGTTTCTTCATCTGTAAAATGGGTTAAAGACAGAATTTGCGTGCAGGGTGGTTGTGAGGACTGTGAGGGGTGCACGTGAACCACAACTCCTTCTCTATCCTCCTCTCGGGATTTTGGGCATGCACACCCACACTCCTGGCATGATTTCCAAGCCTCCAGGTCTGACGCTTTAATCCAGTGACTTAATCATTTTGCTCCCCAGTTTCTTCATCTGTAAAATGGGTTAAAGACAGAATTTGCGTGCAGGGTGGTTGTGAGGACTGTGAGGGGTGCACGTGAAAGGCTGGCATCGCGCTACTGCACGGTCAGGTGATACACACTGGGTCATTATCTCACTGCAGCGACAGGGGCGGCGGCCACTCTGTCACAGAGGTAGGATTCGAACCAGGGGCAGCTCCAGGCAGCAGAGAGAGCTCCCTTCACAGCGCTGTCCCACACCCGCTGCTCAGTTCCAGGCTGTGGTTTCTCACGGCTTAGCGTTTTCTCTGCTTGGCCACAGCCTAAGCTCGGAGGGAAGACTCATCTTTATTTCTCCTTATCTGAATTTATGCAACATTCTTTCTTTTTAGAGAGAGATTTTTTTGCTATAGGGCATGTGCACTTGCCAGAGAAACAGAGACAGAAAGCGAGAAATCGCCACCCGCCCACACCACACCCATCAGGAGGGATGGCCACACTGCAATCCCTTCTCCTCCATTCTCCTCTCAGGATCTTGGGCATGTACGCACACATGCCCGGCGTGAGTTTTAAGCCACCAGGTCCGGGACACGAACTGCAGTTGACTATGTGGGAGTCCAGGGACATAACCATCATGATATCTGCTGGCCCCTAAGCAACATTCTTGAGAATTTTAAATTTGGGTGCAATTCTGCATTTTATGCTTGTGCATGCCAAAAAGATTTTAAAAAAGGAAGGGGAAAGTTTTTTTTTTTAAGTATTTATTTATTTAATTAATTCTATTTGTTATTATTTTTTAATTTGAACAGAGAGAGACAGAGAGAGTGAAAGGGAAAGTGAGGAAGCAAGCTGCCAGGTCTGGAACTAGAACTGAGCACACAGAGAGAGAAAAAAAGTGAGAAAGCTAGCCGCCAGATCCAGGACTTGAACCGTGGTCAGCCACGTGGGAATGTCCAGCGCCTTAACTACCACGCCACCTGCCGGTCCCAAGGGGAAAGTTTTTCATGTCTCATTCCTGAATAAATCTTACTGTCTTGAGTGGTGTTTCTTTGTTTTGGAAATCAGTCTGAAGCTACCCGGAATGAAATAATGCATAAATACACATGTCATGGAGTTTTCTGGCCCAGCCCAGGATGTGACCTTCCCTAAGCCTCCCCCTGGTTCACTTGCTCCAGCCCACCACGGGTCACAGCTCCTGGTGTCGAAGTCTTCTGTGATTGAGCCTTTGGGGGCACGTCATCATTAACCTGCCTGCACCCAGATATCTGCACGACCCTTCTGAGACTTTCAAAGAGCTTTCTCATCCTGGTCTACCCAGTCCCATTCCTGGCCCACGGTGTAAGCAGCAGCGCCGTTTATGAGACGGCAATGAGAGAGCCTGAAGGTGTGAAGCAGAACCGTGTCCTGCAGCAGCTGAGACCCGACGCTGCTGGGCCCTGTGCAGCCAGACCGACAGCCCTGAGGGTGGTGGGGCGAGGAAGAGGAAGTTGACCTAGGCGGGTGGAGAAGGGGTGGTGGGGCTTTGGGTGGAGGGCTGTGAGCTAAGAGCTGGCGCCTGAGGAGGGCTCCTCAGGGGCCAGCCCCACCACTGGGACTGCAGCTCTGCTCCACGGGCCAGCCCTCTGGGCAGGCAGCAGGTTCGAGTCTGTCCTGCCTCCTTCAGAAAGCCCGCAGCGGTCTGCGATGTTCTGGGAAGGTCTGTGCCTGGAGCGAGCCTCCGTAAACACAGGGCCATTTGCATTTTGAAGATTGTCAGACTTGAGTAGAGCTGCTTTTCTGTTTCCGTCACAGGTGGCAACAAAGAGAACGAGCCAGGGCGAGAGTGAGCCAGGGCGAGAGACAAGTGGCTACTCACCTGCAGAGATCTCAGAGGCAAAGGGCCAGGTGAGGCTGGGGACCAAGGGCCCTATTGCACAGGTACTTGGAGGAGGCAAAATTCCTGGACCATTCCCACTTCCTCACTTGGTGCTCATCTCCGGCAGTCACCCCAGGATGTGGCACAGAACTCCTAATCAGCATGGCTGAAAATCTGAGCCGTCAGGTGGCAGGCGGTTAAGGCAGCTAGAGCCCACGTGGCCGACTGCTAGGTTCAAGTCCTGGATCTGACGGCTGGGAAAATGCTGGGAGCCTGTGCGTGCGTGCCCAAAATCCCAAGAGGAGAATGGAGAGGGCTTGCGGCGCGGCCATCCCCACCGAGAAGTGATTCTCACTTTACCTCTCCCTGTCTCTATCTCCAGTGAGTGCACCCTCCCTATAGGGAAAAAAAAAAAAAAAAAAAAAAAACCCGCAGCCGTGTGAAGTGAGCTGAGTGCCAGGCCTGGCCGCACACCTCCGGGTGCAGACAGCCCCTGATGGAGGCCACACTGAAGAATGCATCTCTGCTGCAGAAAAGGGAATGGCGCAGCCGGGTGGGGGCAGGGTGGGGAAGGAATTTGCATCTCATGGCTCAATCAGATCTGCAAGCTAACATCCTGTTTTTCTGTAGGTTGGGCACATCAGTGGCCTCAGGAAGTGTCAACAGCCTTGCAGACGGACCCAATCCCGGGTGACCACGCCGCCTCACCCCACCAGGCCCCCTGCCCTCCCTCTACTCGAACTCGGGGACTCAGGACTGGAGACCTCCCCCTCCTCCCCAGAGACGCATCAACAGGAAGCGAAGTCAGCTGGAACGCTCTGTTCCCTTGACATTTTTGTTTTAAGTCTGCAGCTGTGTTGGAGCTGCACGAACTGTCTCTCAGGCTCTGTGGCCCGTCTGCTTGTCTGCTGGGCACCTTTTCCCTCACACGCGTGCACTCAGGCGTGGCCACCTGAGGCTGCAGCAGAGCAGAGCAGGCTGGGGCAGAGGTGTGGAGGGTGAGAGCACAGTGGGTCTGCAGCTCTGCTGCGAGGGCTGACGGTGGAGCTCTGACCACGCACTCGGGCCATCACCGAGGAGCCACAGGTGCGGATACGTTCCTGGACGGCTCCCAGGGCACGCCTTGGCTCTATCACCTCCAGGTATTTGCCTCTCCTCGGACTGCAGTGATGCGTGTGTGTGCCTTCTCCCCTCCAAGCTCTGCAGCTCCCACCTAGCAGGGGCTCGGCCACACTCACCCCCACTCAGGAAGTAGTAGGCCAATAAGTGAAAGAAATCTGTTTCCTTTTATCCCAAGTCAACCTATCATTTAAAAAAATTAGGACCAGCAGGTGGTGTAGTGTTAAGGTGCTGGACTCCCATGTGGTCAAGCAAGGTTCGAGTCCTGAACCTGGCAGCCTGAAATTCACACTGGGCGTGTGTGCGTGCGTGCCCAAAATCCCGAGAGGAGACTGGAGAAGGTGTGGCCATCCCCCCTGACGTGCTTTCTCACTTTCCTTCTCACCGTCTCTGTCTCTCTCTCTCTCCCTAGTAAGGCAAAAACCTCTATAAACAACCATAACCTACTGCCCCCAAGTGCAACACGGTCCCCTCAAAGCGCTGGCTCTTCACCACCCGTCTCCTTCCTGGCTAAATGTCTGATTTTTGCACTCAGGGTTCTGAGACCCGTCGGAACACGATTTTGCTTTTTCCCGGTCACTTTTCTTTCTCCTGCCTCTCTCTCAAGCCTAGAGGAAAAGCCCTCTAACCTGGGAGACCCTGGGTCTTCAAAGCTACCATGTACTAGAAGGAAAGCGGCGACTGGCCTCTTTCCAAGTTCTTCAACGGACTCAAGAAGAGAAGCCTCGTCCATCACGGCCGCTGGTGCGTGGAGCTCACAGGTGCGGACCGTCAGGTTGGCTTTAAAGGACCGCCCGGGGACATGGCTTACCTGGTCACACAGCTCACACGTCCTTTGTCAGTACCCCCCTGGAATCCCAAGTCTGCGAGAACACAGATCACAAGACAGGTGTGCCCCAGGTGCCTCCACACAACGGCGCCTAGAGGCCCACATGCAGAGTTTCCGTTGTTATTGGTCATCCTGGGCTGTTTTTGCCAGTGCCCAACCCGTGCCTGCCAAATTAAATATCTCAAAGTCAGCCCAAGAGCCCCGTTCTCGACACAGTAGGACTACACGAAGCCCCCAGTTAGGTCATCTCGGCGGGAGAAAGGGAAATGGCTCCGCTAAGGTCAGGAACGAGAACGAGGCAGGTTTGCCCGGTCTCGCCACTTGCCTTCAGTATGGTGTGCAAGCCCTGCCCTGAGCAGTCAGGCAAGAAAAGGGAAGAAAAGGATCAAAATCTGAAAGGAGGAAGTGAAATGGTCTTTGTTTGCAGATGACATGATTTTACCTGTAGGAAACCCTGGGAATTAAAAAACAACCACCACCACCAAAAACACGGTTAAACTAATAAATAAATTAAGCAAAGTTGCAAGACATGAAATTAGCAAAAGTAAATCATTTTATTGAGTCATTAGAAAAATCAAGACGTATATTTCTGTTTTTCTAGGCAAAAATGTATCATGGCTTTTCAGACCACCCAATAATTTCTATACCCTAAAAAGTAAACAATCCAAGAAGGAGATGAAGAAAACCATCCCAGGACCGGCTCTGCAGCGCAACACGTTCACGCAGTGCGGAGGGAGTCAGACTCCACAGGCCTGGCCGTGGCTCCAGGACGGGCCCTACGGCTTGAGAGACATCATGTGCATATGCCCAGGGTCCTGATGGTGTGGAGACGTCGAGGGGTGATCATGGCCCCCATCCAGGGTGCTCTCTCTCCCTCTCTCTCTCTCCCTCTCTCTCTCTCTCCCCCTCTCTCCCTCTCCCTCTCTCTCTCTCTCCCTCTCTCGTTCTCCTCGCCCCCTCTCTCTCTCTCTCTCTCTCTCTCCCTCTCTCCCTCCCTCTCTCCCCCCCTCTCTCTCCTTCTCTCTTTCTCCCTCTCTCTCCTTCCCTCTCCCTCCCTCTCTCCCTCTCTGGTAAGTGCATGTGCCTTCTGGCAATAAAAGAAAAAAAAATTTAATAAGAGTTTTGCTATAGGGCATGTGTGCTCACCAGAGAGACAGAGAGAGAGAGCGTGACAGAGAAACAGAAAGTAAGAAATCACCCCCACCCCCCAGGGGGATGGCCACACAGCAATCCCTTCTTCATTCTTCTCTCAGGACTTTGGGCACACACATACATGTGCCTGGCATGAGTTTTAAGCAACTGGGCCCAGGACTTGAACTGAGGTTGACTACATAGGAGTCCAGTGACATACATTATGCCATCTGCTGGTCCCTAATTCTATATGTTTATTGGGATTAAAGTATGCATGATATTCATCCCAATAATTTCAAACTAATTGTTGATTTGTCTGTAGTTTTCATTTGTATCCTTGAGTATATCTCTTTTTGTCTTCCTTTTTTTTGAGAGAGAGAGAGATTTTTGCTACAGGGCATGTGCACTCACCAGAGAGACAGAGACTGCGAGAAATCACTCCTGGGGGGATGGTCACACTGCAATCCTTTCTCCTCCATTCTCCTCTTGGGATTCTGGACATGCAGCATGAGGTTTTTTTTTGTTTGTGTGTGTGTGTTTGTCACAGGGTATGTGCACTCATCAGAGAGAGAGAGACAGAGACAGAGACAGTGAGAGGAAAAGTGAGAAGTCACCCCCCTGATGACTGGGGGATGGCCACGCTGCAATCCCTTCTCCTCTATTCTCCTTCCGGGATCTTGGGCATGCACGCACATGTGCCTGGCATGATTTTCTTTCTTTTTATTTTGGAGAGGTTTTCGCTATAGGGCGCGTGTGCTCGCCAGACAGAGACAGAGAGACAGAAAGCGAGAAATCACCCCCCAGAGGGGATGGTCACGCCGCAATCCCTTCTCCATTCTCCTCTCGGGATCTTGGGCACGCACACACATGTGCCTGGCATGAGTTTAAGCCACCGAGTCCGGGACACAAACAGCGGTCGACTACGTGGGAGTCCAGTGACATAGCCATTACGCTAACTGCTGACTCCCGCCTGGCATGATTTTCAAGCCACCAGGTCCGGGACAGGTCAGCTGTATGGGAGTCCAGCAACGTAATCACTGCGTTATCTGTTGGCCCCATCCTTGACTATATCTTAATAAACAAACAAACAAAAAATCAGCACAAGCGATAACAGCAAAAACAGATGAACTGAACTGCATTGAACTTAGTTCCTGCACATTAAAGGAAACTGACGCAGGAAAAGGCGATCTCTGCGAAGAGAACACAACTACAAAGCATGTGTCTGAGAAGGGGTTAATATCTGGAGCATACGAAGAACTCCTACCACTCGGGAATCACAAGTAGGTAAAGGACCGGAACAGGCACTTCTCCCAAGATACGCGCGAATGGCTAGCGAGCCAGTGAGGGTGCTCGGTATCAGAGCACGGATCAAAGCCACCGTGAGATTTTGCCCCGTGCCCACTAGGGTGGCTATCAGAACAAAACAAAACGGAAAATAACAAGTCCAGGAGGGTGGGGAGGGACTGAACCCTTGTGCACTGCCGGTGGGAAAGTGAAACGGTTCAGCCCGTATGAAAACAGTATGGAGTGCTCCCAAAACCTGAACTAGGGGCCAGGTGACAGTGCTGTGCTGATACGCGACACTGCGAGCCCCACGTGCTGCCGTCCCCATCCAGGCCTGCAGCCCTCCCCGTGCGAGCCGGGCGAGCAGCTGACCGTGCTCTGGGGAGGGCTGAGCCCACGTGTGGACCCGTGGGGGTTCTCTTTCTCTCTCTTGCTCAAGGAAGGAAGAAAGAAAGAACTATTAAAAAAAAAAAGCCAAAAGTCGCATTGCCATATGAGGGGCCAGCAGGTGGCATCGTAGTTAAGTGGCTGGGTTTCTACATGGCTGACCATGGTTCAAGTCCCAGACTGAGCAGCTTGGAAATCTGTGCACATGCCTGCGTGCCCAAAGTTCTGAGAGGAGAAGGGAGTGTGACATGGCCACCACCCGGGGGGTGGAGGGTGGTTTCTCATTTTCCTTTCTCTGTCTCTCTCTCTCACATGCACCCTATGACAAAACCTTAAAAAAAAAGGACTGCCACATGACCCGGCAATCCTGCTTCTGGGTGTGCATCCAGAGACCTGAAAGCAGGGTCTCAGAGAGGCTTTTGCACACCCCGTTTACTGCAGCATTGTTTACGACAGCCAAGGGAGAGAAGTCGCCCGGATGCCCATTGAGAGGAGAGTGGGTTAAACAGAACATGCTATATACACACAGCAGCACGCTCTGCAGCCTTTGAAAGGAAGGTCCCGGGTTCACGTCCAGAGACCTCCCTGAGCGCTCCAGGTACGGCTGTGCCCATGGCCGGGATGCCGAGGTTGCACATGGCTCACGGCATTAGCACCCTGTCAGAGGGACTCTCTGTCTCGCTCACTGATGGAAGAAACATAAGTAAACTTTTTGTTAATTCTTTTTTATTTAGTTTTATTTATTTATTTTAATCTGACCAGAGAGGGACAGAGTCAGAGTGAGGGAAAGTGAGAAAGCAAGCCTCCAGGTCCGGGACTCGAACCGCGTCAGCCATGTGGGAGTCCAGTGCCCTTAACCACCATGTCACCTGTTGGCCCCACATAAGTAAACTTTTAAAAAAGAAACTACGTGCAACCCAATAACATCAATGACTTTCAAGAACCTAATGCACAGAAAAGCTCTTGTGTTGTTTAACAACTGCTGCGGTGGGGCCAGCAGGTGGCGTAGTGCTTAAGGTGCTGGACTCTCACATGGCCGACCACGGTTTGAGCCCTGGACCGGGAGGCTTGAAAATCACACCAGGTCCATATGCGTGTGTGCTCAAAATCCTGAGAGGAAAATAGAAAAGAGATTGTGATGTGGCAAGCCCCTAAGGGTGATTTCTTCCTTTCCCTCTCACAGTCTCTGTCTCCCCAGAGACACACATGCCCTATGGCAAAAACCTTAACAAACAGAGAAAGAAAAAAAAAAAAGAGCTGGCATAGCCCATGGGGGAGAGTCGTGGTGGTTACACCTGACCTGAGCACCTGACAGGGCAAGGAGGGCCGTGTGAGCGAGGGTGCTGTGTACACACAAGTGCTCACGGAGCCGGACCGGAGCAGGGCTCGGCGTGATCTTTGCATGTTGTAAAGTTAATGGAACAGGGGCCGGCAGGTCGTGTGGTGGCTAAAGGCGCTGGACGCCCACATGGCCGACTGAGGTCTGAGTCCTGCACCTGGAGGCTCGCTGTCTCCCTTGCCCTTTCTCCCTCTCTCTCTTTCTCTCTGGTCAAATTAAAAAATAATAAGAACAAATTTAATTAAATAAATCAATAATATTTTTAGAGGTTTTTTTCTATAGGGCACATGAGCTCACCAGAAAGACAGAGAGAGACAGAGAGACAGGGGGGATGGCCACGACTCAATCCCTTCTCCTCCATTTTCCTCTCGGGATCTTGGGCACACACGCACAAGCGCCCAGCGTGAGTTTAAGCCACCGAGTCCGGGACTCGAACCGCGGTCGACTACATGGGAGTCCAGCGACATAGCCATTATGCTAACTGCTGGGCCCAAATAAATCAATAATTTTAATCAAAACATGGATAATACAGGTTCAGCACCCCTTATCTGAAATTCTTGGGACCAAGGATGTTTTGGATTTCAGATTTTTTCAGAATTTTGGAATATTTGTATATACCTAATCAGCTACGGGGGGGGGGGGGCACATCTAATCACGATTCATTTGTTTCTTACTCTCAGCACACACTAGCCTGGAGTGACTTTATACAGTGTTTCTGAGTTGTAGCGCTTTCACCACAGCCCGCGATATCGGGCAACTGCCGAACCTCCACCCTGCTGTCAGGTCAGTGCTCAGAAGTTTCAGTCTTTGGAACAGTTCAGATTTTTGTTTCAGGGATATTCAATCTGGAATAAAAAAGAAACCACAGATACTGGAAAAGAATTCCCGAAAGTGACTTAAGTGATAATGAAACTTAAGACAGTATTTTTAGGGTCTAAATGACCTTTCTGAGTTTCAGAGTCAGACAATTCCGTCCTCTTGCAAGGGAACGCTGCCCGGAATGCTCTGCGGTCCAGGCGTCACAGAAAGTTCCAGGTCTTTCCTGGATGAAAGGACCCGTTCTTGTTTCCTTTTTTTCTTTCTGTAAACATCCATGGCAGAACCCTACCCACCACCAACCAGCATGCTGAGCCGTGGGCACAGAGCCGTGGGCACAGCCTCCTGAAAAGTAGTTTTCTTCCCGGGACCCCTCCTGGGGTAGCAGAGGGAGGGGCGTGGGTGGGTGGTGATGCTCTGTAACTGGACTGGACTAGTCTTCTTACTAGGGTTTGGTTTCCGTCCGGGTCTGGCTGCATTTATTCATTTATTTATTTCATAGTTTGTTATAAGATGTGTGCTCTCACCAAAGAGAGTCAGAGAGATAGAGAGAGAGGGAACGTGAGAAGCCACCCCCCAGGGAGGATGGCAACACCACAACCCCTTCTCCTCCACTCTCCTCTCAGACTTGGGCACATGCGCACATGGCCCAGCACGACCTCCAGGCCACCAGGTCTAGGCCTCGAACCGCTCACCTGGCCGCTTTAACCTCCTCCCACCTGCTGGCCTGAGTCTGGCTATTTGGGGTGGGTCCCCACCTGAGCCTGCAGGGGTGCTGTGGGCCTGAATATCACCTGCCCATGACGCTCATTACGGGGGACTGAACAGAGGAGAAACAGGAAGAAAGAACATTTCCAGGTTTCTTCTCTTCCTCCTTCCCGTGTTCCCTTTCTTCTCCTCCGACCTCCTGGTGCCTCGAGGA